ATCTCTCTTCTTGTTTATTCCGTCGTTCTACTTGTTTCTTTTCTAGTTCTTCCTGATTCTTTTCTTTTTCCTCTAACAACTGTTGTAATTTCTCTTCTCGTTCTTTTTGTTTCTTTTCTTTTTCCTCTAACAACTGTTGTAACTTCTCTTCTCGTTCTTCTTGTTTATTTTCTTTTTCTTCTAACAACTGTTGTAATTTCTCTTCTCATTCTTCTTGTTTCTTTTGCTGTTCTTGTATTGCTGCCATTAAGTCTGCTAGGCTGTAGTTTGATTTGCCGCTTCTCGTTTCCATTTTTTTTTATCCCACTCTCTGACACCAATTTGTTACGCCTCCAGTCGTTAATTGATTTTCCGTAACTTCGTTCCGACGAAACTTTAGCGACACAACTCCTTACTTAATATAACTGGTTTATTCTTTCCGAATATAACTTTACGATACACTTAATTTCAACAATCGCTCTAAAACAAAACCTATAACAACGAACGTGCTCAACTTCGATAATACTCTCTGACTGCAGATCAATTACTCACTGTCTACACACACATTCTTCCGTCACATTGTGACCATCTTTTATATACCAGACTACCCTATATCTAGTAAATGCTAGGGCATTCACCAACGTACAGGATAGTTCTAGAAACGTGACGTGACACTAGTCATGTGACCTCGCTGACGCAACAATAATAATACGTTAAGTAATCATTTTAATATTCAAAGGTGTAAAGAAAAATAAATCAACTAATCACTTGTTTTAGGTAAATTTATTATGTATTTTCTTAAAGATGAATTGCATTCGGAATTTGTCCAGTACATTAATAAAGTAATGATGAAAAAAAATAACAGCCATGAATTAAAGCTTGTAGTGAAAGTATAAAAGATTTCTGAATTTTTTAAAATTCTTTTGGCAATTAACTTAGAAAGACTTATATGGCTGTACCACAGTAATTAACATACACAACAAAGGTTAACTTACTTTAAGCACTTACTTTAAGGCTGTATTTCATGTTATTAAACTCTAGCTGATCATTTTTATATTTTCTTTTACTGATGGTATTTTTATGGTTTTTTTTATTGTTGTTACATATTTTAAGGGTAATCAAGGACTGGGAATTATGATTATTGAAGGTAAACATGCTGAGGTTGGTCAAGGAATCTTCATCTCTGATATTCAAGAAAACAGTGTTGCAGAACAGGTAATATCCCTTACTTGAAGTTTAACTTCAACCTTAATGGGGTACCAACAACTTACTGTGATATTCAGCTTCACTCAGATTGAGATATTGTCAATATACTGTGATATTCAGCTTCACTCAGATTGAGATATTGTCAATATACTGTGATATTTAGCTTCACTTAGAATGGAGTACCCCAACATACTGTGACACCCAGAATGGAATACCACCAACATATAAGTACAATGTATATTCAGTTAGAAACTATTATGCTCTTTGAACAGAATGGACAATAGTTTAATCATATTACTAATTACCTAGCACTCGCACTTGTTGAGAAGCTATCATGAAAAAGAAAAATAATATAGAAAACACATGACAAGGTACAGCAAAAGACAAATGAGAAAGTAAGGTATAAATCTAAAGGTTTGGATGCTTGTCACAAAATAAAACATAACATGAAATTCTTGAGTGTATATTACATACCACAATCACTCTCTAAATATTTATATTATTAGTATTCATTGCCCTGGTTTTTGAATGCCCATTGCACCAAACATGCTCGCCCTTTCAGCCGTGGGGGCATTATAATGTGATGGT